AGTGACCTCACAATTATGGTGCGCGATCTTCTTGTTCAATTTTATCGTTCTACACATTTCAAACCAACACGAATCATTGTTTATCGTGATGGAGTTTCGGAAGGACAGTTCTTCAATGTATGCAGTTTTTTCTAAATTCATTTTTTATGGGTTTTTGCTGTGCAGCACTATAGCGCTATTACAGTGAGCAAAAACGCGTATCTTGACATCGTCCGTCTGTGTGTGTTCGGAAGCGAGTGGACTTTGTTACCCACTTTCAGCTCAGCATCCAGAAAAAATTTCGGCGCACGTTGTCTTAATTCAATTTGGAGGTGAAATTCCCCGCACGCAGACATGACAAATACTCAAGTTTTCGCATACTGAAAAACGGGTGCATTTTTCAGATTTCATAATCCTGTTCCGACTTCAAATTTTTCATTTTTTCGTTGAGCAAACATTCACTGGAAGAACGACCAGGCTTCAGTCAAAAAACTGATAATCATGCACGCTGGAAGCCAATACGGCCCCATAATGCAACATCTTCATCCCAGCCCACGCCCTTTCCTCTGCATGCGGAAAGGAATCAAAACACAGCCAGTATGAGTCCAAGTGTTAAACTGCAGCGCAGGGACCGTTCCTGCTGTTAGCGGTCTGCAAGTGCCAAATTACACCTTTTCGTGCTCCCTAATCTCCCTTGCCTTTGTGGACAAGGAGTTTGATTTCGTGCTCATAATTGGTATTTTTGTCGTTTTAGGTTTTGCAACATGAGTTGCGAGCGATGCGTGAATCGTGCATGATGCTGGAGGAAGGTTATCAGCCAGGCATAACATTTATTGCTGTACAAAAACGACATCATACTCGTCTATTTGCTGTTGACAAAAAAGATCAGGTAAATCATTCAATTCATGGACGGGGAACGTCCTCTCAAAATTTCAGTCTCCTTCACTGGCTTTTAGTAATTCACTCGAAAAAAACTTTGATCAAGCCCCTGCGTGGCTTTCACGTATATGAGAGGGCTGGTTTTGA